ATTATTATTATTATTATTATTATTATTATTATTATTATTATTATTATCTTATTCATTTATTTTTTACACGGTTGTGGCCGAGAGGAATTGTCTTCCGCTGGATTCTTGTTTGGATAAATTTTATACAGTGCTCAAGTTTGGTTGCTTTGTTTTGTCCGGGTTGTTCCCTATATGTGGTGTTTTTCAATTTTGGACTTCCGAGCTTTCGTCTAGAATTTGTGATCTTTTCATTCGTCATTCACTATGGACAACTCTCGCCTTGGCTGGTTTCAGTTCTAGGCCTAGACCGGTGTTTCCAGTGGGACAGCCTCCTCTACTTGGTTTTTAGTTTGTACTCTTACTGGTCCTTTGTTTTTCATCCGTCGGTGGACGTATGCCATGTGCGTTTCGCACTGTGTACATAGGGTTAAAGTAGGACTGGGAAGAAGAAGAAATGGAAGGGATAAGACTGGCTAGTTTGTTCGCGTATGGTCACCCATCCAGTTCCTAACCCCGTCTAACATGGCTTAATCTAGGTGGCCTTAGCTAGGCTTAGTGGATCTGATATGTTCTTTTTATTTGCCGCGGGCTTCTTCGTCTGCCAAACAAAAAAGTCGGAAAGGGGGAGCAGGACCGCCTGATCGCAGATTATTTCGTTATCAGCTAGTCGGTGTCAGCTTAGTTTGCAAATTTTTTCTTTTCTTAATTTCCTTAAGTTTTATCAGTGTTGTGTGTCCTTTTACTTACCGCTCGGATTATTTATGTACCCCCTACTTTCAGAATGTTTTCGTACCTTATCTTTAAACCCAGTTGCATGATAGGCGTAGAGCCGTCATAATGTCTGTTTAAACTGTTGTCAACACGTGGAATCAAAAAACTTTTTTACTTCATTTTGATCACGAGATGTCGTCTTGGTGCCATTAAAGAAGTTCTGTTATTTTTTCTCTTGTTTCCTGTCACTCGAAGTTGTTAGTTCCCCCTTGCGTACCAGTATTGCCGTGCCTTGGGTGCGGGTGTCTAATGCCTTTTATGCCTCTTTCAGGTTGCTAAGGCCGGCAATTCTGGTGGGCTTCCCTCGCTCTCCCTCTTAGTTTTCCCATATTTCATGTCCGTGAATCATCTGTTTGGACACTTTTTGGGGCCTTTCTTGCAATTTACTGGTCATGCCTACTAGCGCAAGTGGGGAAGGGCAAGCCGACCAGTTTTGTAGGCCTTGCTCCCTCGCCTGATCGAGCCGAATTGCATGCTCATTCAGCCGTATATCTGTCGTCAGGTACCCGTCTTCCTTTTATTTGCATCCAGAGAACTTACCAACAGTTTAGCTCAATGGGAGGTCATTTCGGAAAAAGTTCTTCCCCATGAAGAGCCTGAGTGTTTAATACGAGATTAAGTCCGTGAAGATTTCCTTTCAATGCAGATTCGAGGGGGAATGTACCTTACACCGATTCCCCCTGATCGGAGTTTGAGGAATTTGCTTCCCCTATTATACTACAACATGAGGAATTTCTGCAATTTGCCTGGTTTTGAGCAGTGGTATTTCAGCTTGATTAGAAATACCTTCATGCGAAAGTTACAAACCTTTGGCGGGTAGTAGTATACTGTAAACAAATAGTTATACTTTGCGTAAATGGCTTGTGTGCACTTTAAGGCAAGGTTTGAGAGGCGAAACCTCCTTATCTCGTCATGCTCATAACCGTTGAGCCTTTAGAATCACAATTGCGCCACGACAGACGCTTTCTAATTTGTGAATCGAGGATATTTCGTGTATTACACCCTCCCCCTCGGATGGGAGGCTAGTGCCTATGCGTATCACACAACTGGTTTATTGGCCACTAGCTACATTATAAGTCTTGGAGTTCACCCTATTCCTGATAAAGTGATTGTCGTGCAGGCCAGGTTATGGTGCACAAGGCGCTAAACCTTCTAGAAAGTCGTCTTTCGCCCCTCCTTGTGCGTCGGTTGGTTGGTCTGCCTTTCTAGCTGTACTCGCTCTCATTAGCGTTCGTCCTTGCGGTAGACTAGAAGCTCAAGATGAAGGGCTTAACCCATTCGCTCCTGGAGATTTTGCCGAAAAACGCGTTTTGAAGCTAGTCGAGTGGTTTTCTGGTCACTGTCGTGCTATAAAGAGCTAAAACTTACCACAAACCGGTTTACAGGTCGTACACTTCGAGGCCTTCTGATCCAGATGCAAAATATCAGCTTGCGAAGTTCGGGCATGCACAGAAAGCGGTGTCCTTGACTGAATTGTGCTCATTCTGGTATGGTTTGAAAGATCTCTTCACTCTGCACAAGTTAGCGAAGAAAGTTGTCCTTGACCGTTAAAACTGATGACGTCACAAAGGGTAGAAAGGACCTGGATCTGCATGGGAGGTTACGGGCGGTTCAGGAGCGAATGGATTAAGAGCGTCATTCATTCTGACTCAGGATACTGTGGATCTCGGAAGCTTGCAACGGCTCGCAGGCGAAACCACCTCGTTAAGTTCCCCGTAGGTCCATTAATGTTTCTGCTGTCCATCTCAGGGGTATTCTATATTAGAGATTTGTGGATATCTGGCAAGGTGTCCGCCTGCTTGAGGGGCATGTAATTAGAACTAACGGTCGTTTTTGTGATGTGTTGAATTCGGGATGGGGTGGTGTGATTCCCTGTTGATTGTGGAAATTCCATTGAAGTGCGTGTCAGTACTGGTCCGAGCGCCCCCGCTTCCGAGCCTCTTGGCTAGTGTTAAGTCGTATCAGGCCTAGATACCAAGTTGATACCTATCTACGTGTACAGTCTACTGTTAGTTCGCACGTGGAAAAATCAAGGTGCGGGCAGCAGAGGAAAACTCTTTCCGTCGTCACCTAGTCATCTATCTTGCGAACTTTTTTTCGCCCTGTCCTTGGTGTATATTCCCTCAGGAGGTGATCTTATGGACGCCCCGCGGGGCTCTCTCCGCCAGTACTTGCATGCTGTTCCTTCGTGTTTAGAGTGACACCCCTTTTGCCGCTTGGACTTTTCTTACCTGGTCTACCAAAGAGTCCGCGATAGTTAATGTTTTTTCCTCAGACTTTCTATCCTTAAGACTTCGCTCAGTAAGTCTTTCCACCTTTGACTTTAGCTGGAATAGTGCTTCGGTTCCTTGCCTCCCAACCCTGTCCTTTTAATACCTCCTTACCCCCGTCGTTACCGGTGGCTTGTTATCTCGGGTGCGCTATTGATTTTTCTATTGATTTTGTTCTGCTTTGTTGTGTAACAAATGTTCGTGTGCAGAACTACGACTGTTTCCTTTTCGCCAAATGTGTTAGCAAAACGTTTTCTTACTGATAACTTGGGTCACACTTTCCTCATAGAAACCAGAATAATGGAACCTCTGTCAGCAGAAAAAAACCTGGAAAAACACAACTTGACTGGAGGCTTAGAATTTAAATTTCCTGTCCTCTTTACGAGAGGACAAGAGTTTATCTTAGGCCTCACCAAAAGATGTTGTTAAATCTTTTTTATCAAAGTTGGCAAAGGCAAACAGTACTGCGTAACAACTCATGTCAGTCCCTTGGTTGAGAATACGTAGACTTGTTCAGCTGTTACTGCTCTCGCACGGTAATTAGTCTGCTGGCACAGTGTTTTGAAATCCTGCGTCGCACTTGTTGGTCAAGCAGTAACTTAAATATTTATTACGTACAGTTGCAGGCTAGAGGGCCTCTGTATATTATCGGGTCGAAACAATAGAAATAAGTCGTGTACCACTTAAGGTATAATCTGTTTTATAAAATAACTGAGATAGTACGCGTGATCTGATTGGTCAAAAACCTATGGTTTATTATGCCGGTAAACCATAGAAAAAGGCATCCGGACCACGAGCCATAAACAAAACCGGCTTAATTGATCTGCAAACAACGATTTTAGAAAGACTAAAAAACAAAACAAGTTACTTACCCAGCCCTTCTTAATATTAAAAGCGTTGGTTTCCACATTTTATTACTGAACGTCACAATTCGCTACTGCCATAGCTTTAGAAGTTATAAAGTACAAAGCTGGACAACAGTTTACATTTCACGACGATGCCAAATCGCAGAGAAAGACAACAACTGTGTGAATTTCTGGTGTAGAAAGTCTCCAGGAAAACTTAACCATGTGCCAACCAGCAACAAAACGGATAGTTTTAGCATTCTTGATTTATTTTATGTCAAAATTAAATTCCTTAATGAAAGAAATTGTTCCAAAAAGAGATCTCTGATCAAGATATGGTACAAAATCGGCCGCCGTAGGTTGTAAACAAGCTGCCAACGATGGTGAAAGATGTCAGAGTTTCGGGCTGGTTTTTTCCAACATTTGCACAAATTATTCGGTGATATCGATGCCATAACCTACCTCAAACCACCTGACTTCACGAATCGACAAATATTAACGCCAATATGATTCGGCTCGTGATTTACAAGCTTTTCTCGTGTTCTCCCAACATCCCGCGTGGGTTATCACGCCGGTAAACCCATAGAAAGTGTGGTCTATTACTTAAAGGTACCAGCTGTCTATCCCGAACGGTACTGAACATTAACACTCGAGAGCTTGGATTTTTCTCGCTTGGTTTTCTTCTGGTGACAGGGCTTCCGATCTTCTCATTATATAAACGCAGTTCAAGTGTTAGAACATTCTGATGGCTCTTGCCTCCTGTTTCACAAATGCGCGGCTAAATGTTAAGAGAAATCTTGGAGTGCCGAATTTGCAGTCTATCGTCGACCTATGTAAATCAATGCACCTGGAAATTTCCTCTGGCTTTTCCAGTTTAACGTCCAGAATAACTTTATTTTCGATAGTCGAATCCTCGCTTATATCGTGCGGGCGAGGCACGTTTAATATTTTTTAGTCCCCCTTGCAGTTCTCTGTGAGTGTTTTTGGGTCGGACACTCCGTCCTTCTCAGACTCAACGGGGTGTCTAAAGAGGGTCAAACGAAGCACATTCGTTAGAAACCTGCTGCGTGAGTGGAACACGCTCTGATTCAGAGCAAACCTCGAAAAACCCGGCCAACACCTCTTCCGATGCCTAATGGCTGGTAGTTCTGTTCAAATTATTCGAGATGGATCTTCTAACGCTTTTCGTGATGGCATCATTCTTGTAGTCATCAACTTAGAACCGAAACAGGTAGATGCGAAAAAATCCCTAGCAACGAAAGGATATGTTCCTTTTGTAACAGTAACAAAAGTGAAGATGAAAATCATTTCCTACTAGATTGTAAGGCCTACTCTAGGATCAGAGACGTATTTTTCTTCAAAAAACCTAAAATCTCTTTCACATGATACTTTAATAGCTCATCTAATGAATTCTTCTGATTATTTGATTAACTGTCAATTACCCGTGTGAAATACGTCCATGGAATTCCATAGAAATCCATGGAAATCCATGGAAATCTATGGAAATCCATGGAATTCCATGGAAATCGATGGAAATCCATGGAATTCCATGGAACTTCCATGGAGTATCCATGGAGTATACATGGAGTTCCATGGAATGCCATGGAGTTGCATGGAGTATCCATGGAGTTCCATGGAATGCCATGGAGTTCCATGGAGTATCCATGGAGTTCCATGGAATGCCCTGGAGTTCCACGGAGTTCCATGAAGTAGTGATGGAGTTCCATGGAATGCCATGAAATTCCATGGAGTTTCCGTGGAGGTCCATGGAATTCCAGGGAATATTGTAGAGTTCCATGGAATGCCATGGGGTTCCCTGAAGTACCGATGCAGTTCGATGGAATGCCATAGCGTGTCTATGGAGTTCGATAGAATACCATGCAGTTTGTATGAGAAAATCCATAGAAATTCAGTAATCAAGCAACTCATCAACTCGTTAACCACATGTTCAAGTCTGCACTTGTTATTGGATAGAAATATAGGAAACATTTGAAAGCTTTCTAAAGCAAAATAGTGCATTTAGTTTAAATTACACAGACAATGCAAAAGTATTGTTCACCGACAGGCGACGCTGAAAGTCCCAGTGTAAGAAATTTTATTGCTAACTATAAAGAGGAATGTTTTGAGTGCTTAATAAAAAAATGATCCTGTTAAAAAAAATAAGTATAAAAAATTGTTTTTTAGTAGGGCCGTCTGCCATTTATCTTTTAAAATCAGTGTTGCATTTATAATATGAGAAGATCACTGTTATTAACAACATGCAGTTGCTTCATTGCATTGACACCGTGCCGCTATTCGTACAGGACCCGTACACCGACGTGTATTTGCTATGACACACGGGATCAAGTCTCTACTTGAAATTTATATGAAATTTCTAAGTCTCTTGAAATTTCTGATCAACAAATTTCCATGAAAGTATAAGTCTCTTCAACCACAGTGTTCCATTTTTAAGGACAAAATTTCAGTGGCAAATTTTGAAAAGAAAAAAAATTCGATGTGGCAAAGTTGTGAACCGACCCAGGGGCGTAGAATCCACAGTTCGTAGCCTAACCACTCTACCACGGAGTAGTAACTCGCTGCTAGGTGGAGTTTGATTTTACTCATATAACAACAACCGTAACCCTAATTAGAAGCTAACCGTTTCGAGTCAGTGCTTTAATAGCCCTAATCAGTTTAGTCGGAATCCCGTATGAATAGCAAATACAAGACGATGTACGCCGGTCCCGTACTTAAATAGCCAGTAGAAAATGATCCCACTAGGCACATAACTCTTCTCGGTATCTTAGTGTTTTTGGTTGAGAGCTAAGATTTTCCCTGTTACTCGAGTCCAACCTGATTGATGAGATTGCTTTGCATGGAGTATTTCCGCAAACCTACACGAGCAATATGAGAGTTTTTTTGCCGCATCCCGTGGATAGGCTAGTCTGCTACACAGCCGTTTTTAGTGGGGAGGAGCGTTGCGTGACGACACTAAGAACGGCTGTGTATCAGACTATGAATAGGCCTGCTGCCTTTTTTCAAAGGTTCCCTCACCTGGGAGAACAATGCAATATTTTCCTTTCACTGCTTTACTCTTCGACAGTGTTGGAATAGTACAATTAACTCTGAAAGGGACCACAATTTAAAGCCTTTAAAGACAGATATCTTCACGATCGTGCCGTGATTTGACGCCATGTTTGATGCCTGAACTGGCATCCAGGCTTCCCCGCTTAGTGACTTACGCGATCACGTGGGGCTTTTGAACCAATAGAAATGCGTAGAAGATCAGTTTTCTTGGTTCGAATCTTTAGGCGGACTTCTCTGCAGTACGACAGTGTTGTGTAAACGGATTGTCTTTGCAATGAATGCTTCAGGAAAATATGTTATTTTCTGCGCAAAATATCACTTGTGAGGTTGCTTACATTTGGCTTGTTTCAAATCGACTTCGATTGAACAATGACTCAGCTGGATCGTACATTAAAGGAGGAAGGTAAGCTTAATATGTACACAACTCGTGTTTGGTTGCTCAACTGATTGTCTCTGCTAGATTTAGAAGGGTGACTTTTCGGGTGCTGTTTATCGGTTTTAATATGTAGTTTTCATCTTTTTTGTTTATACATATATGAATGTGGTCTTTCCTGCAAATTGCCTTTGGAATCCTTCGGAATAGTTACTAATTCTGGCAGAATTAGAAATCGAAGACTGTACTTCGATGGACTGCTTCGATGTATAAGAAGAAATATCATATTTAGGGAAAGTTCATTTAATATGACAGGGGGGGGGGGGGACGAAGATATTGAAACTCAAAGCTTGAAATTTTAGCAGCCCCCCCCGCTAGCTGTTCAATTTTTTAGGAGCCCCCTCCTTGGTAGTCGAAAAAATTTCAGAGCCCCCCCTCCTCCTTCAATTCCTTTGCTCCCTGAAAAAGATCGCTAGACTGTATTAAATATATTTACCGTTATTGTCTTCAATGGTTTATACTATGACAAACTTGAGATACAGTTGTGATACAATTTTCTAAAGCATTTTTGGGATGAACAAGAGTGTAATAATTACTGAGACTACATTTGTTATATCTGTAAACCACGTGATATAGCTGAGTTGCACAGGTCATTAAATTGTTGAGTTGAAAACCATCCGATCTGTATGATGATGTCATGTGTTGGTTTTGAAGTATACAAATTTTCGGAGCCCCCCCCTCCTAGCGCAACAATTTTTTCAGAGCCCCCCCTTCGGGTGTCTAAAAATTTTTGGAGCCCCCCCTCAGTATCTTCATCCCCCCTCCTTGTCATTTTAATGAACTTTCCCTTAGAATTTTCATGCCTGCTACGTAAAAACTGTACAAGAGACTGATAAATTATAATTGTGGCTGACGCCGTTTTTTCCCAAGGATTAGGTAGGACTTTGCTATAGCTAAATACCATGGCTCTGATCGAAGAAATTAGTAGCACTTCCCTACTTCATCGCATTAAATAAAACCATGTTTAAGTCTTACATACTGACAGTTTATGCATTCAAGTATTAGCTTATTTTTTCTCTCAGTTATGCATCTGTTCGACTGTTACTTTTCTTAAACACCAGGCCAAGATTCCTTGCTTTATGTTAAATCTAAATTTTTCATTTAAGCTACTTCAATATGATTGCTGCATTCTAAACTGCAATGTATATAGTCACAAGTAAACATTAATTTGTTTTAGCTACAGCATGTCAAATTTTCTGCCAAAAGCATGTTAACTTTTGATTGATATCTTTAAATTGAGATTTATGCGGTCCTTTTATTGATTAAATAAATTGCAGTGGACCAAAATCTGTTATGTATTCCATTTGATTCACTGGATATTTTAAATGTGTAATTCCTGTGAATTCCATGAAACTCCCTGGAGATCCATGGAATAATTGATAGAGTAGTTTCTATGGAATTGCATGGAACTTTTCCATGGAAAATGTCGATGCAGAAATTTCCATGGAATTCCATGGAAATTGGTGTCCTAATGTTTTCCACGGAATTCCATGGGAAATGTCCTAATCCTCCATGCAAATATTTTCCATGGAAATCTATGGAGAAATTTCCATGGAATTCCATGGAAATTGATGTCCTAATCCTCCATGGAATTCCATGGAGAATTTTCCATGGAAGGAATTCCATGGAGGTTTTTCACACGGGTAGTTATTATTTATCTCGCAATGATTTGAATTAAGAAGAAAATTGACTCATATCAATGAATAAATGAGATCTGTAATGTTTTGAAACGTTTTACATTAATTAGTTGAATTACTAATTAAATTTAGACTATGGTAGCTTTTGCAATACTGTATTACATGTATGGTCCTGCAAGTAAAGCGTTTGTTGCTGTGGCTGGCTTTAAGCCGACAATTTTGATGAGTGCTTGTGTTGTCGTTTTAGTTTCGGGATATGGGAGAGTTAGTTATGGGTGATGGGGTTGGAGAGGCCAGTGGAGACCTTTCGCTTCATCTAAGGCTGTCCTTCGCCTCCGAGCTAAGGACTCGCATGTCCCGTAACTCATCTCTTGAGTCCCAGGCCTTTGTTATGCGAGCGTCCACTAGGAATAGATTACTATTACCAGTGTACCCTCGCATAACAAAGGCCTGGGACTCAAGAGATGAGTTAAGGGACATGCGAGTCTGCAGGCGAGAAGGCGACAGGACTAGACCAAGATAAGAGAAAAAATCGGGGGGGAGGGGGATTGAAACAAACGAACCCCAAAGCAAAACAGGTGTAGACCCCCCCCCCCCCCCACAAGGGGCTTCGACGGGCGCATGAATCCAATCCTTTCGTCCTTGCAGCCAAACTGGCCAAATTTGCTTACACAAGTGTTCATTTATGTAGAGAAAGCCACTTCCGAGGGAGAAACGCCCACACACTCCTGAAATAGATCTCTCGCTACTAATTCGTCAGAATTAAGGCCAACGTTACTCGAGCGAGCACTGGGATTATTATTTAAGTTGTTATGTAAGCCTTAACCAGGCACTCTTTCGCTGCAGTTCACTCAACTTAAAAATTTCTGGACTGAAATGACACCGGTTTGAAACTTCGCGAAGTCAGTTACTGAATAAATGTTCTAAAATTTGCGTCATTTTAAATTTGGACTCGTTGGAATGCTTCTAGGGACCATTAACTTAAGGCTTTTATCATTCATTCAAAATATTTCCCCAATTCTGATTGGCTAAAAGCACACGCATAATTCACCATAACCAGTGACTGACGACCAAATTTGGAAGAATTTTGTGTTTAACGAGGAAATGACGTCAAAAATGCAGCCTTCTAAAGGTTAATGTACCGTTAACCGAGAAGACAAGATTGAGATTGGGACTAGATTGAGTTGTCTTCGTTGTAAAAGCTGAAATGGCGGACACTTCACTCGTTTTAAAGGTCAAATGAACCAAAAAATTGAAATATTTTCTTTTGTCGCTTTACCTTCACCAAACACTAAAAAGAACCATCCTAAGTGAGATTTGGGTAAAGATTTTTCTTCCCAAGCCTTTATAGAAAGATAAAAGATCATAATCCGAGCATTTCCGAAGACTTCACGAAAACGTTTCTGAAATGGCTGCGAGATAGACTGGAGACTACGTGACGTCAATGTTGGTCTTTCAGGGCGGAAAAACGTTCTGCGCAAGCTTCTGCGCATCCCTTATCGCCTGCGTTTGTTTGTCTCGTCCTGTGAGAGTTCTGACTGAGACTGAATGAAATACCCGAGTTGCGAACGTTTGCTCCTTGTAAAGGCTTTTTTGTTGTTGTTGTTTTTTCGTCACCTGGAAATTACTTTGGATTCAGAACAATCAATGTTCGAGTAAAAACAGATCATTCCGTCAGTCTGAGGAGGAATAAAACGTTTTGAACATTTCCAAAGAGGTTTGTATTTTTCTGATTATTGTGCATTCGATTTGTGAGTTGAGTGTGTGTCCAGTGTTTCGCCTTCCATCGCCGGGCTGAATTAAAACCCGCTTGTATTCTGTTATTAGTGGTTACGGTTAGTTTTTTTACATGCCCAGATTTATTTACCTTTGCAGAACCCGCTTTATCCTTGGCTTTTTGTCAAAGAACCGTAATGCTAACGCTTGCCACTTCCTCGGAACTATAGAAGGCTAGCAAGCTTATTCGAGAAGAACAGAGTACTTCGATCACTTTTCTGTTGCTCAAGTAATAAGAATCAGAGTTTTTTTTTTCTTTTTTCATTTTTAATTTCGTAGTTTTGATTTCTTTCTGTACGCAGATTTTCCTTTTCACTCGCTGTGAAGTAGCTGAGAACGAGAACTGCCGGCAGTGACTCCAAAGCAATTGACTCATTGCCCGTAAACAATTGCTGGAGCTGGATTTGACTAAACCGAGCAAAACAAACCCTTATGTGCAGTTTTCTGTACTTTCTAATTATTCAGTTTGCTGAGTTTAATTTGCTTGAATGAAGACCCTTGCATGGACCAGTTTTTAAAAATAGCTAAATGGTGAATCATGGCTCGGGTGCGAGCTTGCAACTGATCTTTTGCTTTTAACATCTTTAGGTAGGCTATTTCGCACAGAAAATTCACTTCATTGTCAGCGTGTATAAGAGCCTTAAGCCTTATGTTTTTTGAATGGAAATTTGTTGTTTTGCAACCTTATTGAAGCTTTTTTTAGTTCACTTAAGCTAAATTTTATGCATGATGGAGTTGTTCTTTGCTTGTCGCCTCTCTTTGCGAGCTTTAAGTGGCGTCTATGGTCCTTAAAGTGACCTCAGTCGGTAATTAATTCATATACATATATAACTGGAGAGAAGTTTTTGCAATAATGTAACTTCAACTTTGTTTGAAGGAAATCTTACTTATGTGTTATGTATGTTCAACTTGACAACACAAAGCAAACTTTATCTGTGCGAAACGATCAAGTTTAAAAAACTGTAGTTGCTTTGAAACCGATTTTGCGGAAGATTTTACTAGATAAAGATTAACTCTTTTTCTGCCCACATATCAACGCCAAAACTTCTACATTGAGGATTTTGTTTATATTTTAGTGTTCTGCGAAGCCGAAGTGTCTGATCGAGCATGGGTCAGTTTAAAATATCAGCTCGAGTGCGACAAAGATCAATGACTTCAGACACATTGTGGGCAATCGTGAATTTCTTTAGGCAAATCACTATACAAAGATATTTTGTTTTTCTGTCCACAGTGGAGCTCCCGACCTTATATATCCAGAAACTTCCTTATATGAACACATTTTGTCAATACATCTGGAAAAAATCGGACCTACGCACGCACATTTCCAGTACAGCGCAAGGAAATCAATGCCGTCGTTAAAGTCCGTTTTTACTACGATGTATTCTTCGAGGAAATTAAATAATAAAGTTATAACCACAGCTTCCAACTTTTGAAGACAAATTTCTTGTTCTTCCTAGGTTTATGGCCACACAAACCACCACAATTTCTGCGCCAAGTCGACTCGAAAAACACTGTTTTGAATTTCCCGCTTTTTTTCACCTGACCAACATTGACGTCACAAGCTGTTTTTTACCGAAAATTTTTCCGACCGCTCTACGAGGATAAGGGTCAAAAAACAACAATTTTTAATTGCGAATACCTCGGAGATGATTGCTTCAATTGATCTGAAACTTCATACTATGTTTATTCAGTTCATATTAAACATATTTCACTAGAATTGAACTAAAATAAAAAATGTCGAATTTTTGGTTCATTTGACCTTTAAGAGTAAGAACTACAGATGGAACTAGGCGAAATAATGGCTAAAAACATAGCAAAAACAGCAACAAGACAACTCGGAGGGCAACATCAATCACGTGACCGTATACCGACCACCCGACCTTCCGTCCGTCCGCACAGGCATACCAATGTTTCATCTCGCACTTTCTAGCTTGGCAGCCTGCAACCTGATATTGTACATCCATGTTTTGATTAATTGACAGCTGTCAAAATAGTGTTTCTGCTGAACAGTATCGCCTGACCGTATCGCGGGCTCAGGTAACGACCCACTGAGTTCGAGTGTATTTTTGAAGTTATCCGCTGACAAGTTGCTACTTTTCAAATGATCGCAGGCTCAAGTTCAAGTTTTTTAAAATGCATATGAAATAAGTCGTGTTCATGAGCCGCACTTTTAAAATTTTGATTTCGAACTGACCTCTGACGCGATAATTCAACTGGCTTTTACATGCAGGGAAGGCAATCGCTTTTGACTTTTCTCACTGTCACGCGTTGATCACGCTCTACGTCCAATCTTTATGTTCTGACTGGTCAAAATTTGACAGGTGAGTTCATAAAGAAAATTTATGCAGCTTCTGGAAACTTGCTTACTGATAGCTGAAGCTGACAGAGTTTTGTGTCATCCTGTGATGTTTTAAACTGTCTTTTTCTACTCGATGTACAAAATGAAATACAGCTGCTATCAAGATTGTTCTGTAATTCATGGCTGGTTTGTTTATTGCACTTTTTGTTGACAAATGCACCGCTTGTCAAAGTCATTGGAAATCCGATTTCGGATGTTATCGTTTTCAAAAATGAGCTTACTCACTTGCCCTTGCTTGAGGCGTAAGAGGGTTGAAAAGTCTCAAGCGATTCAGGAACACTTGATGACCTTCAGAAGCAGTATCTCGACTGGTAAGCCTGAGCAATTATTGTCTTTGATGTTTTTTTTTTGTTTGTTTTTTCTGTTTCCTGAAGTCGAGCGTATGGTTTATGCGGCTTAAGTTTGTACACGAGCAATGCTCTAACCTACAATAGTATCAGGTTTAAGAAGCCTTTAGACATTTTTTGACCGCAAATTCAAAGAAAAGGTTCCGAAGAATACTTGGTTATGATTTTGGCTGTAAACAGAGAGCTCTAAGCCATTTTCTGGCCTCGAGTTCATCTTGAAAACACCGGGAAGCCGGCTTAAAACATAAATAAGCTTATGCTTACCTGACTTATGATTTTCAGGAACACTTTAACTCGTAATTTTTTTTTCTTCCCTACACTTACGTGCCCTATAATAATATTTAACCTACAGACACATACATATTCAACCCCAATCATCCCCAATATAGCCTGCAAGCTTTACCTTTTCATGACCTGGATGACAGAGAATTTCATATTCTAGATGGATCCTGTCACTTGCAGATAGATAATTTAAAAGATTTAGATTTATATAATCTGCTACCCAACCCTGATAAATCTGATGATGCTGACCCTGATCATATATTAATTAACCCTCAATGTGATTACTATGATATTTCTAGTTTGAATAAGGTTCTAAGTAAATCAGGAGCGAAATCCTTCTCATTTCTTCATTTTAATATTAGAAGCCTGTCAAAAAATATTGGCTTGCTTGAAGATATGCTATATTCTTTAAGTGAACAGCCTGATGTATTAGGGGTTTCTGAAACCAGGCTAAATGCAAATACCACTTTTAATACTGAGTTGATTAACTATAATATCTACCAAGCTGATTCTCCCACCCCAGCGGGAGGGTTGCTCTTTATGTCAGTAAAGCTTTAACATCATTTCCAAGGTCAGATATAACTTTGGATATGCCTCTTGTGGAATCTGTTTGGGTTGAAATAGCTACTCCCAGAAACCAAAAACCCATTTTGGTTGGCTGTATCTTCAAACATCCAGGTGCGAATATTGATGAAATTAATGGGAAACTTGATGAAACAATGGAATTATTTAACCCAAACAAGTACCAATTGTATATCC